CATATAAGCTTTTCCCACCCTAAAAACCCAGAACAACCAATAATTCTTCTTTTCTTAATATTTGTCTTATTTTTTTAAAAAAAAATACCTCACAATTTGTAACAAAAAACACCCAGTCATCTCTTATATTTGCTTTCGGGCTCTTTGGCTGTGTTCTTAAGGTTTTTTTCCCCCTAACATTTTGCCATTCTCTGTGGCCGGCATCTTCAGAGGACAAGAGTCAGATTCTGTGCTCTGTTAACAGTTATGCTGGCAGATTTCAATTAAAATATTATATTTGGTTGGTTTGTATCATTCTGCTAAACTTAATAAAGCCTGGCAATATTCCCACAAATCTGTTATGTCTTTGTCCGTTTTGCTATTGTTCATATATAAAGCATTAATTTTGCCATAATGGGAACTCCCACACTTGATCTTGCCATTTATCAGCTGAAGCATTGATCAATGTGATCTTAACTCAAAGATATACTACCTGTACTGACACTGGAATATCCAGAAGCTTTTTTGGCAGTACAACTGCCCCTGTGTGGGCTGAAATCAGCTGGCAGAAGGGCCCCCCCCAAAAAAAAGGTAGGAAAGGCAGGAGCTGAATTATATTAGATCCAACCCCCCACCTGATCTCAGAGGCATAATCATTATGCCAGCACAAAGTTAAGTCAAGACCAGTGTAGCCCTTCATCAGTTCTAGTATGAGAGAGAGTAGGATTCAACAGTGTTTCAGCAGAATACTCTCTGGCCATCTCTTTAGAGTCTTTTTATAGTGTATTCGCGAAGGCTTTTTATATTTCTCTTTAGTCATGATGAATGTAGTTGGAAAATGCAATGCAGCAGTTTTCCATTGTCTTCCATATCTCCACATTCTACATCTTAGTCTGTGTTTTACTTGTGCCTTTAATATTGTTCTTATTATGAGTTTTAATATGATATTTGTTTAGCACTTTTAAAATAGTGTGATAATTTATTATTTGTCTTTTAACTTTGTGTTTATACTTTAAGCTGCTTTGGATCCTTCAGGAGAAGTACAGCATATACATAGTTTAAATATGCATGGTTTGGAGCACGCTACCTCTCAGAGCACCTCTTCCCAAGGTCCTCTACCCACCTCACCAGATCCTCCCAGGCCATGAACTTTTGGGTGGCCACTCCAAAGGAGGACAGGAAATCATCTATGAGAAGCTGGGCTTTCTCCACCGTGGCACCAATATTTTTGAATCAGATCCCGGTTGAGCTGCACCTGGTTCCCTATCTCCATATAGAGGCTACTGGAAATGTTGCTTTACAGAGAATCCTTTCCATGCAACCCTGCGTGAGCTTCATGCCTCCTGCTCCACCTTTGATTTGAAAATTATGCCTCTTGTGGTATGCTGTTGCATGGCTGAACATTTTCTTGATGATATTATTGACTGCTTTTTTTTTACTTTGACATTGCAAACCATCCAGAATAGCTTGATTTTGCTTAATTTTATGTAAATAGAATAAATAAATAAATAAATCTCAGTGCTACACCCAGTTGTGAGTGGTACCATCATGTGCACAATTTTCCCTAGTAAAGGCTGACTGGGATATTTTGCTTTTCACCTCTGGATGGACATTGCTACTTCCCAGAATCGGGTGGTTTAGACCTCCAGGACCTCTTTGCCTCCTGGTTGAGGTCCTCCACCTTAAGTCATTGGCTTTTCCAGGGGTCAGATTAGGTAACTGCCAAATGGTGTTCAGCATGGCTGAGCTATGTGATGGCACCACACATTGAAAGCAGAGGCCAAACTCTCTGTGTCACCTACCCCACCAATTAGTCCATTCTCAAATCATACAACACTTGCTGTTCTGGAAGACCGCTATTTAGATGATATTTGAGTAACTGGGGAATAAAAACAGTTATATCTCCTATGAATCCACTGAAATACTGTTCATATGCCATATCCTTTTTCATCTTTCAGGAGAAAGAAATGTATCATAATCTCATTTCCTGAAGTGCCGGGTGGAGCATGATTCTTATTGATGGCCAGCTGTATTATTTCAGCAACAGCCTATTTCTAGCAGCCCTATTTTTTTCTAAATGGAAGAATTTTCACCCTTCTTATTAGTTCCAAACCATGTATATACTCTCCCATCAACCTTTCTCCAATATTTTGCAGGTTTCTCCAGATGATTATCAGTGCTACTCTCATATGCAGAAGATTTTTGCAAGAAAAAATGGCTCAACATTATTTAAGCCTTTGGTGGAGCAAAACTATTTTTTTGGTGATGGGTTAGGGTTTTTTAAAATATGCATACTACACATGGTATAAAAATTCTTACCAAAGTAATACTTTAGCAACACTTAGAAATGTTTTAAAGAAATCACTTTAGAAATCACTTTAAAGAACGTAGCCTGCTCTCCACTCAGAATTGCTTCTGCACCACATCCATTCATTTCACTGAGGTTTTTTTCCCCACGCAAGAATCTTACACTGGCCATCAAGTGGATAGAGGATATGGTGGCTGCATATCCACCTTTCTCTTTTACTGCCTGCATACTCTAATAGAACCAATGAACAGGCTGTGACAACCAAGAGGTTCTCAGGCTCTGTGGGAGTGATAAGTATCCAATTATGCACAGCCCTCAAGCCAGCCCTAAGCTGAGTCTGGTAAGTTTTGCCCTTAAAATGTTCAGCTTTGTGGTTTGGTGCATGGTCTTTTTTTGATACAGTAATGCACAGTTTCTTTTCAGTATGTCAGTAGAAACATTCAGTGATATTTCCATTGACTTCATCCAACAGCAGTGTTTCTTAGTGGACATTAGATATGGCTGTAGAATCATAGACTCAAAGAATCACAGAATAATGGACTTGGAAGAGGCTTAGAAGGCCATCAAGTCCAACCCCATGCTCCATGCAGAAATGCAGATAAAAGCAGATCTGATACATGGCTGTCTAACTTTCTCTTGAATGCCTGGTCGACTCACTTGGTTTTCCTCCTGAAAAACCAAGTGAGTGCTCAGTAATAGCCAGCAAACATTAACTATACAACAGGATTTTAGCCAAAAGAATAAAAGTTGTGAGTCTTCTTGAGACCAGTGCATATGCATGTTTGCAGCATTTTGTAATACCTCTGTCTTCACATTTTAAGAGGGCACCACCAAAATGGAACTTCTGTTTTTTGCAGATTTGTGTCCAGTGTAATAGCTGTTTAGCAGCTTGTCAAATAAATCAGGAACATACTACCCTTTTTGTTACGTTTTATGTTGCTATCTTGGTATTTGTGGCATGTAAGAAAATTGACTATATCTGCAAATGTGTTTTGTTTGATATAAAGGTTGTAGATCTTCACTTTACATCATGCTCCTCTCCATTTAGATCAAGAAGTCAAGGACAACAAGCCTGTTTTTCCATCCAAAGAAAATAATTAAAAATCACAAAATAACTGTTGCCAGGGTTGTCAAAAAGCAAATGCTTCCCTTTTTTCCTATATGTGGAGAAACCTATGACCCTGATTAGACCTAATTCCCATAGAAGCCAGAAACTGGGCCTTATAGGATTTTGCCAAAAATGTGTGAAAAGACAGTACCCCACTGTAGTCGGGGGGGGGTATGGAAGGCAGTGCACTTACTGCCCAGAGTTGATGGATCACCGTGGAAAGGAATGTTTTGAGTGATGATTGACATTTCTTCTAGAAGATCCACTTTTGGCCTAGATTCAGAGAATCTGAGGCTGTTAATAATAGATTTAATGTCAAACTAAACATTAAAGGAAATGTGTATTTTCTACAATTAACCTACATTCCCTTTCACATTCCTCAGAAATAGGTGACTGAGAAATCAGCAACTGAGGAAGATCATGTGCTGTGACTCAAGATATGGGATTCTGGCATAGGTGGCCAGCCCGATTTTCACCTGTCCTCAGAACCATTAAGGTCCACTTATGGTGCAGGACACAGCATGCATGGGTGATGTCATTGTCAGGGCACCAATCGCGGCAATAGCCTGACTGCTGAAGCCCTGCCTCCCTGCTCAACAGGCCATTCAGTGGGTCAGCAGGGAGGCACATCATCCCAGCCCTTCGCCGGAATAGCTAGCTGAGCTGGGAGGTGGGACTGCGGCAGCCAGGCTACTGCCACAATTGGCACACTGACAAGGAAACCTGCCATGCATGCCATGTACCACATGGTAAGTGGACCGGTGGGTTCTGGAGGCGGGTATAAATCAGGATGGCCACCTGTGGTGGCAGGATTTGTTTTTGTCTCTGAAGACAAATCCCCCATCTCTAGCTGTGACAAACAGCTGCAGGAGTACTGCTGTGAAAAATATGATAGTGTAGTCTGACTCTACATGTGTTAAGTGGCTAATCTAGTGCTAGGATGTCAGCAGTATGATTTTGTGGGTGACTATATTAAATTATGTAATAGTAACTGTCATTTCTCTGAAGGAAATCAAACCCTGAGTGCTCACCGGAAGGACATATCCTGAAGCTCAGGCTCCAATACTTTGGCCATCTCATGAGAAGAGAAATCTCCCTGGAGAAGACCTTGATGTTGGGAAAGTATGAAGTCAAGAGGAAAAGGGGAAGACACAGGACGAGACGGTTGGACGGTTTCATCGAAGCGACTAACACGAATTTGACCAAACTCTGGGAGGCAGTGGAAGACAGGAGAGACTGGCATGCTTTGGTCCATGGGGTCATGAAGAATCGGACACTACTTAATGACTAAACAATAACAATTGTCATTTCTTTCAGTTTTCCTCTGCTCTTAATATTTGGAATATATATATATATCAGAATACATATCTGACACTATGGACAACACTTCTGATGAAGGATTATCCACCCAGGGCCTGGATGGCTTGGCTGAGTATAAAAAATATGATGGAGCAGACTTTGCCAAGTGGCGCTGCGTCCTGGAGATCATTCCAACCACCGCTTCCCATCTGGTCGTCATAGAAAATGCCAGTGTGCTGGCCTATTAGCCCAGTCCCTGTTAGCAGCGCCAGCAGAATGGGATTGTTCCTATTGTTGAACCTGAAATCTTTCTTGATGATAACCTCAATCTCAAATGCTGCCAGTGTGGGAGAGAGGAGGTTCTGGCTGCTGTTTACAAGGCCTTGAGCAACCATCAAATCTAGCCAGAGAGGATTCTGCTGAAGCCAAACATGGTGACATGTGGCCATGCCTGCATACATTTCCTGAGGAAATTGTCATGGCAACAATTACCACCCTGCACCACCCTGTGGCTCCAGCTGTGTCTGGAATCACCTTCCTGTCTTGTGGCCAGAGTGAGGAAGAGGCTTCCATCAACCTAAACACCATCAACAAGTGCCCTTTGCCCGAGTCATGGGCCCTGACCTTCCCCTGTGGCCATGAGCTGCAAGCTTCTGTCCTCAAGGCCTGGAGTAGCAAGAGAGAAAATCTCAGGCATGCTCAGGAGACTGTTCTGCTTTGGCCAACAGCCTTGCCTGCCAAGGTAAATATTTTCCATCTGGCCAAACTGGAGTTGCTGCCAGTGAATCTCTCTTTGCATCCAACCATGCTTATTAAAACCAGAAGCTTAGTTGTACTCTCTTCTCTACATTGTGCCTGATCTACTGTGGTGTCTGTAACTCGTTCTTCACCTGTTCCACTCTTCTTCCCCATTGCCAGCTTCCCTAGTGAGAGAACGGTGGAAATTTGTGCCTTGCCTTGAAAGAACCCAGACATCTTGATTTATTCCTTTCTTCTAATCCACCCCCACTTTCTGTATACTATTATGTGATTTCCAGCTTCTTGTGGTGACTGAAGGCACTCCTGGTCCATGCACAAAACACCAAACTATCTCCAGAGATGGAATACCTGACTCATGGGCCTCTAGAAATAAATATATCTATTAAAAACTTCTAAGTGAATTTCAATCCACAAAAACTCAATAAATTTGTTAATTTTCAGGTGTCTTCTTTTCTGCAAACAGGTTAATGTAACTAATTAATTAATTATGTGCTGTCAGGTTGCTTCTGACATACAGCAACCCTTCTCAGGGTTCTCTAGTTATAGAGTACTGAGAAGTGGTTTACCAGTCTCTTCTTCTGGAGGCTCTCTAGGACTGTGCAGCTTCCCCAAGGCTACAAAGGCTGGCTTTTCTCCCAAGAGGCACAGTCGGGAATCAAACTTCCAGTCCCAAGCACTGCAACCAAAGATTCCATCTCATTGAACTTCCCCAGAATGTTATTTTTGCTTTGATAAGCATTCCATTGACTTATTTTGTCAGAATTACTGCCTATTGTTTATATTCTGTTATAACACAGAAAACTGTGTTTATATTCTGTTATAACACAGTTGCTGTTTCAGCCCAAAGAAAAAATTAAAAATCCATGTTCTTGGGATACTTTTATTAGGCTGACACAAAGTAATTTTTTCCGAGTTCTGCAGCGAACCACATTTATATGGCGCTAATGCTCATGAAAATGGTTAACCCAATCCATCTAAGGACACCACGATAGTCATAAAATAATTATTTATCCTACGCAAAGCTGTGGGAGTAGATTAAGATTACCAGATATGACACAAACAGCTGGTGTATAGCCCAAAACAAAAGAAAGCGTTGTTAATAGTATTTGTGCTCCTAGGAAAGATACATATATTTCAAATTTAAATAGGAGATTGCCAAATGTCAGTAATATTACACTAGCATTTTCATGGTTGTCATTGAAATGTAATAATAATTTAGAAGCCTATCTTTTAAGTGCAATTATACTGAAAACCAATTACATAGGAAGCAAATGATAGATTAGCATATATCATGCATTTACTTATAGTTTCCTTTTCTGATTGTTAGAATACTAAAATAATTGAAGTCACAAATATTTTGACATGCAAAGTGGGTAAGCTTCTTCTAAATTCTACAGGGGTAGCTCTTACAGCAAACAACGACAACAAAGGGATCTTATAGCATCTTAAAGTCTAAGAGATTTATTGCGGCATAAGTTTTCACATCTTAAAATACATTTTATCTGTTGCCTGTAAAAAAGATGTATCCTTTTATACTGTAGGTCTGCTTTCTGCAATGTAGTTTCATCCAGATGTTTGATCTACAACACTGTTCAATTCCAGTGATCCTGGCCAATGGTTAGGAGTGAAGAATAACTTATTACTGAAAGAATATATTATCAGTTATGCTGGACATTCCTTGTCTTCTTTGGATCATTAATCCCAAGCATCAGCTGATTTAATATTTTTTAAAGAAATGGCCAGAGCTATGCCAGGCTACCATTGCCTGTATCACTGTCTAGATCTCAAATTCCCTAAATGCCTTTGCATAGCACCATCTTTAATACATCAAAGATAAGGAACAATTCCTGAGTTCTCACCCTTTCAGGACAGAAACAGATAAGACACAGCACTTTGCAGTTAGAAGTGGAGTTGCCTTAAGCAGTAAAGGACATAGGATTATCCTCCAATGAAATTTTACAGCTTTGTGAATTATAAACTAGCCTGCCTTTAACACATTCACTGAGCCTGGGATTAATTTGTTTGCAACCCCTGCAAGCCATTCTTTGCTTCTGTGAAACTAAAAAAGCTGTGTCAAAATTTGATTTGAGGATTTGGTGAGAACAGAATGGGGAGAATAAACTCTAGTGAGAATATAATCCTGGGATTGCCACAAAGGAAACTGAAGGAGGACAGGAAAGTGAGAGAACGTTGGCTGGTGATGCCAAACTGGCTTTTTTCTCCTTGTTTAGAGAATCCTGAGCTTGGGTTTTAGTCTGGGGCTCAAAGCCCATGGTGCTTTCTTCATTGTAGAGGCTGCAAAATCCAGAATAGAAATAAATGGATGGTGGTAGTGATGGAAATCGACTTGGGTCTAATTGCATCTAATATCAGCGAGCGAGTATGACCTGGAAGTTTTTCACCCATTTTAGCTACAGCTATTCAAAGTTCTCATTGCTGATCTGTCATGTTTTTCCAGTTGTGCTCTGCTTCTATTAGAGTTAAATAGTAGCATCCATAGTGACTAAGTCATGCTTGGCTCCCGGCAGGTTCAGAATCTGCTGTCAAACAAAATCTTGATCCTTTGTACCATAGGAAATGAAAGGTATCAGTGAATAATAACTCAAAGTAGTGCTGTATAAGTGGAAACTGTTTTATGGCCTGTGTAATGTACTGTAGTGCTACCCATTGGCATGAAAAAGTCATACAAGGCTTCCTGTAAGTGTTGGCATTTAGATGTCATACAAAAATGTGAGCCTAGGTACAGCATTGCTAGGAAGCATCTGTACTTCTGGAAAGGCTTTGGAGAGAAAACATTTTTGACAAGGGGGAAAAAACGTTCAGGTTGAATAAATAATTTCCCTTTGTTTGGAAATCCAGTTGTCATTTACATGGCTTATGATATACAGACTGAAGAGACATGCAGGAAAGGAATCTGATTATAGAGTGTTTCATTTTCCTACACTGTTTACATGCACTGTCTTGACGATAAAACTTCCAAAGACAATAAATCACGATTGTAGCTTGTTTTTACACTGCCAGATTTTTGTAAAGGGATTAAATGTAGGCTGCTTAGCCATTCTCTTGCACTCTACTGGATTGCAGATGGAAGCTCTTACATTTCTTTTCCACTACATTGATGGCAGTGCACTTGAGCAGCATGTTTTCAACAAGAAACACTTTTCAAGGACATAATCAAAAACGTGGAAAAGAACCAGTGGTCATTCTGTTCATATATTTATCATGAGCACAGCAGTCTGACCATTATTATACCTCACAAGCAAACACCCCAGGTAAATTGGTAGAAACTGAGATTATGGACAACAATTATTTGCCACCTTGGTAAAAATCTTCAGTAGGCTTCAGCCCTTAAAGATAATGGAGACTGTTTTTTATGGAAAAAATAACTTGACAGGTTCTCCAACACAAACGATTCTATATGGAGGCGAAGGGAGTGGTCTGTAGTGTATACCTGGCACTCCTCAAAGTCCTGCCCTCCTTGTGGCCAAACACAGGTGATATGGATGTGGCTATAACAGTGACTACAGGAGGTAGAAATAGTATTTCCACATCCAGTAATCACTGTTGTTTGCAAAGAGATTCCTTCCCATTGAAGATAAAAGGTGAGCAAGCTTCAGGCTAGCATAATTCACAGGCCTGTGACAGATAAGACTGCCACAGTACCCAGTTGGCTGGGTTTTCTTTGACTTCTAGGCATTCCACTTGGTACCTGTTTGAACAACAATGTGGCCCAGATTCCGTTTGTCTTTATAAAGGTTGGTGCGTAGCCCTTACAGCCCATATAGAACCATAAACAGAAGGCGAAATATCAGGTCATTGTTTCATCCTATAGTTTTGCAACAGTCAAGCTTTTCAATTTCTTTAGTATGTTTACTTCAGTGAAGCCATCAGCCATTTGGCTGACACAGTCTCAAAGCCTCACTCAACTGGAGGGCAAATGTTGCAGCTAGTACCATGTTTCCCCGAAAATAAGACAGGTTCTTATATTAAAATTTGCTCCAAAAATGCAGTAGGGCTTAATTTCAGGGGATTTTTTTTTCATGTACAATGGTCTACATTTATTCAAATACAGTCATGTTATCTTCTGGTTGTTGCACAATGGTGGAGGGTGGGGTTTCACTTAACTAGGGCTTATTTTCGGGTTAGGTCTTATTTTCAGGGAAACAGGGTAGAAAGATTGGCCCTCCCTCACTAGCAAACAACTGGTTTTTATTTCACAGAGCTCCTTGACAAAGAAACATAGAAATCAATAAAACCATAGGAGTGAATGGGGAAGAAATGTGCAACAATACAAAATACCTATGTGAAGCAGGATAAAATCTAATATATTAATAATTTTTAATATTTACAGTGCTATGGACTCTGTAATTTTTTCTGTGAGACAGCATGGAAATATTTTGCAGTTTGGGAAAACTTGTTTTCTGGGACTACCACTCCTACAATGTCTGGGAGACACTGTACAATTCCTTAGTCTTCCAGGCTCATATGTTAACAAATCTTACTGGGTTTCAAGAGTAAATAAAAACCATGTTTGAAAGTAAGAATCAGGAAAAGATCTTCGGATACTCTGAAAAGGAGTAAAGACATACAGTCTGACATTGTAGTTTATATGCTGTTGTTATCATGCTGTTGTTTTTAATGGACCTGACTGGACATGGTCCGACACATTGAAGACATGGCAAAATGGGAGCATACTACATCTTAGAAATGTAGAAAAGTAGGTGGATGACAATGAATCACTTTTTTCTGTGGCTTAAAGGTAAAGGTTCCCCTTGACATTTTTACTCCAGTAGTGTCCCACTCTAGGGGGTGGTGCTGATCCTGTTTTCAAGCCGTAGAGCCAGCGCTTGTCCAAAGACAGTTCCTGTTGTCACGTGGCCAGCGTGACTAGGCTTACCAAGGGTCAAAATATTCAATGGACCATGTCCTTCATCATTCCACTTACCATGGCAAGCTGATCATCATGTCCCATGCACAGCATCCTCCTATACTGAAGTGTTTTTCCACCTACTTTAGTGGAAGGGGGAAGGTGCCATTTGATAGGCTTTACAGGTTCTCTGTGCTGTTCTATGACATGAGCTGGCTAGAATGGCTTTCTGGACTTGGCTGCAGTACAAATTTATATCCAAGAGATCCATAGTTATTGAACAGTCAGGTTACCACACTCTGCTTAAAAAGAGGCTCCTTCTTTTCTGCTCATCATTATCAACCAACGTTATTCACTACTTCAAACTCAAAG